AACCAAGTTTAGAGACAACTAAATATTAGCAACAGAAAACACAGCCAGAACACGGAAAATTGAACTTTTCGGAAGTCTGTTAACAACAAATTCTTCAGCCTGACCGGTAAGGGGCGAAACCAGCGGCTGGTGAAGTGGGATTGCACAGGAGGTCTCGGTCAGCCGGACTCAGGCGTGGAATCCAGACGCGGAATCCAGGCGCAGGGTTGGACCTAGTGAGCGACCGAGCAAGCAACCAGGCGAGCGACCGAGGGGGAGACAGCGGGGCAGCGGGGCTGCGTGTTGACTGAGGTCTCGCATTTGTGCGCGGGTGGACAGGTGAGGGAGTGGGCGGTCGGACCTGGCCAGCAGGTCCCCATGGCAAGCGGCAGTGGAGGGCGCCGCCATTTCCCTGCTCTGACCCCACCTCCACATACAGCATCATAACCCAGCGACTCTGAGTGGCCCCACCCTGGTGAACCACCTAAGGCGCTGCTCCTCCGCACCCAGCTGTGAGAAGCAGCAGAGGGGGCCGCCATTTCCCCGCTCTGACCACGCCCCCACATACAGCATCACAACCCAGCGACCTGGGAATCCAAGGCTCCCCTCCTCACACTTAAAGGGCACCAACAGACCAAAAATGGCGCAGGAGGATCTCAGAGCCCCAGAGCCAATAGATCTAAGCGATGAAGAAATAGCAAAACTCACAGACGCACAGTTTAAAACATTGGTGATCAGGATCCTCACAGAACTGGTTGATTATAGCCGACAAATTAGACAAATATATGAAGGCGAAACTAATTGAAATGAATGGAATTGCACAGGACACCAATAGCAATGAAAAGGAAACTGGGACTCAGATCAATGGAGTGGACCAGAAGAAAGCAAATAATGGCCAAACAGAAAAGAGTTAAGAAGCAAGAATTCAAAGAAATGAGGAGAGTCTTAGGAACCTCCAGGACATCTTTAAACGCTCCAACATCCAAATTATAGGGGTACCAGAAGGGGGAAAGGCACAGCCACCAGTGGAAAACTGATTTGAACAAATAATAAAGGAGAATTTCCCCAATCTGGCAAAGGAAATAGACTTCCAGGAAATCTAGGAAGCTCAGAGAGTACCAAAGAAGTTGGACCCAAGAAGGAACACACCAAAGCACATCATAATTACATTAGCCAAAATTAAAATGAAGGAGAGAATCCTAGAAGCAGCAAGAGCTAAGGGGACAATCACCTATAAAGGAGTCCCCATCAGACTGTCAGCAGATTTCTCAAAAGAGACCTTACAGGCAAGAAGGGGCTGGAAAGAGGTATTCCAAGTCATGAAATCTAAAGACCTACATCCAAGATTGCTCTATCCAGCAAAACTTTCATTTAAAATGGAAGGACAGATAAAGTGCTTCTCAGATAAGATCAAATTCAAGGAGTTCATCATCACCAAGCCCTTATTATATGAAATGTTAAAGGGACTTATCTAAGAAAAAGAAGTTAAAGAAACATGAACAGTGAAAGGACAACAAACTCACAGTTATTAACAACCACACCTAAAACGAAAGCAAACTAAAAGGACAGCTAGATCAGGAGTGGAAACATAGAAATGAAGATCTCAAGGAGGGTTAGCAACAGGGGAGTGGGAGGAAGAGAAGGGGGGAGAAGGTACAGAAAATAAGTAGCATAGAAAATAGAAGTACATAGATGGGGGGGTAAGAATAGCATGGGAAATATAGAATCTAAAGGAATTGAGACACATGGTCATAAATTAAAGGGGGGTAATGGTGGGGATGGGGGGTAGGGTGGAGGGGAATGAAGGGGGGAATAGAACAACTGTAACAGCATAATCAATAAAAAAATTTAAAAAAAAGATACTGAAGAAAGAAATGGAAGAACATACAAATAACTAGGAGTGTATATCATGCCCACAAATGGGAAGAATTAACATCATTAAAGAGTCTATACTATCCCAAGCAATCTACAGATTCAACCCCATTCCTATCAAAATGCCAATGGCGTATTTCACAGAACTAGAACAAATAATAAAATTTACATGGAACCACAAAAGACTCCTAACAGCTACAGCAATCTTGAGAAAGAAAAACAAGATGGGAGGTATCACATTACTTGACATCAATCCATAATACAAGGCTATAGTAATTAAAACAGCATGGTACTGGCATAAAAACAGCCACAGATCAGTGGAACAGACTAGAGAGCCCCAAAATAAACCTACACTTATACGGTCAATTAATACTTTACAAAGAAGGCAAGAATATACAATGGAGTAAGACAGTTTATTCAATAAATGGTGTTGGAAAAATTGGATAAATACATGCAAAAAAAAAAAAGAAACGAGACCACCTACTGACACCATATGAACAATACATTCAAAATAGATTAAAGACTTAAACATAAGGCTTAAAACCATAAAATTCCGAAAAGAAACCACAGGCAGTAAAATCTCTTGACATTTCTTTTAGCAATATTTTTTTCTGATACATCTCCTTGAGCAAGAAAAACAAAAGAAAAAATAAACAAAAGAGACTGCATCAAACTAAAACGTTTTTGCACCACAAAGAACACCATTAACAAAATGAAAAGACAACCTACTGAATGGGAGAGCATATTCACCAATGATATAACTGATAAGGGGTTAATATCCAGAATTTATGAAGAACTCATACAACCTAACAGCAACCTCCCCCACCACACACCTAATAATCCAATTATAAAATGGGCAAGGACCTGAATAGACACTTCTCCAGAGAGGACATACAGATGGCCAACAGACACAGGAAAAGCAGCTCAACATCACTAATCATCAGAGAAATGCAAATTAAAACCATGGTGATATCACCTTACACCTGTCAGAATGGCCATCATCAATAAATCAGCAAACAGCAAGTGCTGGTGAGGATGTGGAGAAAGGGGACATATAAATATTGCAGAAGAGCAGGGAAATGAACTGGGCTGTGAGTGTGACTCTTGTACCTTCACACACACATAAAGAGACAGTTCCCTTTTCAGTGCACAGTTGCTGTGTTCCTTGTCCCCTGAGAACAAAGGTAACCTTCCTCTTTTTGTGCACCTCCACCTCTTAAACATTCCTCTTTACTGAATCCTCTACATTATAATAAAACTGCTTTGGTGTTGGCTTCCTGGACTAGACTACAAGCCCCACCCCCAGGGCAAGAACAGTATTTTCCTCATCCCTGATATAGAACAGGTCTTGGGAATAGAGCAGGCATCAGTGAATGTTTGTCAAATTAATGAAAGGAAAATTGTGGGGAGATGGGGGCAACTTTGCACCAAAGAAGTCTGAAAGTATGAGGGAGAGTGGGCATCTGTAGTAATTTAAGAATCAGGTTAGCCTAGTTTTTAAACTGGAGAAGTATATATACAAGATCTGTCCAGAAGGTATCCAGCCATGTAATATGAAAAAGAGACATTTATTGAAGAAGATATAAAAAAACATTGTACATAGGACAACAAAGCCGCAGTCCCCTTCAGTATAGGCACCTTGGGACCTCACGCGGTTCCCTCAATTGCCACCAGCTATCCTGTTGTATTTTCTTGAATCTCATTGATGGTGTGAAATCCATTCCCTTTCAAAGGTGATTTTAATTTTAGGAAAAACCAGAAGTCACAGGGTGCCAAATTTGGGCTGTAGGGGGGCTGAGGCACCTGGGTGATTTGATGTTTTGCCAAAAAACTGCAGGAGACAGTGATGTATGAGTAGGTGTGCTGTCCTGTTGAAGCTGCCAATCACCAGTTGCCCATAGCTCCAGCCTTCTGAATCATCCCAATAGTTTCCACGGAGGAATGCTTAAGCTTAATGCAAAATTTGATGCAGCATAGTTGCTGTACTCAGTCATTTTGAATGCAAGAGCCACACAGTCCACATGCTCACTTAAAGGGTCTGCTGCCCCCCACTGACTAGTACAGTAAAGTCATCATTGTTCACACATGTGCATTCCAGTTCATTCTCCTTGCAAGGTTACATCCATGTCCTGCAAACTGATGTCCTTATATTAACAATGGCTGGGCTTTTTCTGGACAGACCTTGTATATCAGGGTATGTGAGGTCTATGTACCCCCCAAACTTAAACATATAGTCCTTGGATGTGGTAAAAAAAATTCCACTTTACCTCAGAGCAATCAGTTCACAGGCAACATATTAAACTTTCCAAGATTAGTCTGCTCAGCAAGCAAACCAACTATGAGAAACCTGATGGCCCTGCAGATTACTTGCCAGGATTAGCACAGAAGCCCAGACAGTTGGTGCACTTTTGGGTAGAGTTAAGCAGCTAGTTATGCCAAGGCCTGTGAAGAGGGTCACACAATTACGTCAGGGCAGCTCTTGCCATCTCCTCTATGTCTATCTTACCCACTGTCAGGTAAAATGCAGAGCAAACTGGGATGCTTGCTTCTCAGGCACCTGGACCCCCTCTCAGAAAAGGGTAGAGATCAGACAACTGGAAACAGTGGGAAGCCAGGGCTCCGCCAGCAAGGCCTTGTCAGCAAGGCTAGGCATAAGGAGAAGGCCTTCTAGAGCCTTTGAAGTGTGGGGCATGACTGAAGGGACCCTGGAGACTGGGACGATGGACAGCCAGGAAGAAATGCTGAGGGAGCTACGAATCTGGCGGGGGAGGTTCAGTGGGTCTAACAGAAGGCAGAGGGGATTACGTTCCAAGAGCTTGGGAGGAGCTGCGCTCTGGTGGGTGAGGAAGGCGGGGCAGAAACACGCGCGGCCCTGAGCGTGAGGCCTTTGACCATTTGAATTCGGGTTCCGGATTCCCTGCGTACCGCGGCCTTGATTTTCAGGAACTGGCCCGCGGTGCCCGGGTCTGATGGGGTGCACGAGTCCGGGAGTCCCCGGGTGCGTCACGCAAGGGGGCGGCCCGGGAGCCAGGGGGTGTGACCATAGATCCGGGGGCTGGCCATCGTTCTCGCCCCGCGCTTCCGCCACTCCCCGCGCAACGCGCGGGCTAGAGGCTCACTTCCTTGGAGACCCTCCCCCCCGGACTCACCTTCTTCCCTTCCCACTGGTTGGGCCCCTGACACGGCTTCCCACAAACGGCACGCCCTCTCGCGGTCGAATCGCAGCCCGTCCGGTTCCCGGCCCTCCCGCTCCTCCGAGCCGCTGTAGGGCCGGGCCCCTCCGCCGTCCGAGGCCTCCACTGAGCCCAACGCTGCGTATTCCATCTTTCCCGCAACCCCAAACCCACGGATAGCCGCTCTCGAACCTTGGTCTCGCGAGATGTGGTTGGGAGGGTGACTTTGCCTGGCTAACAAATCTCGCGATTTTGGGAGCCGCAGACTTTGTTGCGCGGTGCCCGCGCTGGCGGTTCTTTTGCCGGGTGGCCCCTGGGGAGCTCGGGTGGTCTGCTGTAGATTCAGAAATTGAGCGGCAGGTTCCTAGTGGCCCACTCCCTTCTGGACGGGCTCGTGCAGTCCTTGGCCCTGGGTTGTCACTTTGCTCACGGTCCGCCTTTGACATTTCTCATTTCATTCTCGTTGAAGGCTGTGTGATGTGGGAATATTTTCCCTATTTCACTGGTAGGGAAATTGAGACCCAGAACCTTGAAGTGGTGTATTTTAAGAGCTTACTGCTGCCCTGACCGGTGTGCCTTACTTGGTTGGGTGTCTTCTGCAGAATGAAAGGTTGCCTGTTGGAATCCCGGCCAGGACACATGCCTGGGTTGCAGGTTTGGTCCTTGGTCCAGGCATGATGTTTCTCTCTTGCATCAATATTTGTCTCCCTCTGTTTTTCCCTCCCTTCCTCTCTCTCTAAAAGTACATAAATAAGATTTTTTTAAAAAGTTCAGTACTAGTAAGTTAGTGGTAAAGCAGAACTCCATCTCCACGACTAAATAGGTGTATTTGCGTTTCAGCTGCTAATCCCCACCCCAGACCGCTTTGAACTCCTTTCTGTGTACGTGTCAATTCTGTAATTCTATTGGATCCACCCTCTCTTGCCAAAGTTATTATTATAGAGTACACTGGTCCCTTCCTTTGCCCTTCACGTATTCCCAGCACAGCAGCAGCCCCAGTGATCCTCTTGAAACAAGCCATATTATGACATCCTGGTGTTCAAACTCTCCAACACCTTTCTATCTCACTCGTCAAATAGCCCAAGACCTGAGTTTAGCCAAGAGGACCCTACAGGATCTGACTTCCCTTAACATCTTCTGGCCTTGTCTCCCTGTGTTTGTTAGCCTCCAGCCCTGTGCTAGTAACCCTGGCCTCCCGAAATGCATTTTCCCCATTTGTCCTCAGGGCTCAGCCTCTCTTCCTCTTTCCAGAGTGTATCTAATTTTTACCTCTCCGCACACACTTGCACACACTTCACTTCCTTTCCCGCTTTATTTATTTTTAGCTTTTTATTTATTTATTTTTAGAGACAGAGGAAGGGAGGGGGAGGGGGAGACAGAGAGAGAAAGAGAAGCATCCATTTGTTCCACTTACGTGTGCTTGGTTGATTCTTTTTAAACATTTTTATTTACTTAGAGGACAAGGGAGGGAGAAAGAGAAGGAGAGAAACATTAACATGTGGCTGTCTCTCTCACACCCCCTAATGGAGATCTGACCTGGCCCACAACCTAGGCATGTCTAACTAGCAATCCTTTGGTAATCCTTTGGTTCCCAGGTGGGCGCTGAACCTACTGAGGTACACCAGCTTATTATTATTTGATTATCCTTCTAGTGGTTACTCTAGAGATTATAATTATATTCTTTATTCATCATAGTCTACCCTAAATTAGGGCATCTTTCTCCTTTTTAAATTCATTAAATAGTTATTAAGCATCTTCAATGAACTAGATATTTTCTTAGGTAGTAGGAAATTTAATATCTCTTTTTCCTAATTAACTTCTTTATTGAGGTGTAAAGTATACAAATACAAACCTTGAAACAATATTATGTATAAATACACCTGTATGTCTACCACCAAGGTCAAGATATAGAACATTTCTACAGTCCCACAGCGCTTGCCTGTGCCTCTTCTCACTGAAAAGAAATCACTGTCCTGAACTCTAACACTGTAAATTAGTTTTTGCCTGATTGTGAACTTTGTACAAGGAAGTTGTTGAATTGCTAAATATGAGGGGCTTTTCTAAATTTCTTATTGTCGTTAATTTCTAATTTAGTCCATTCTGATCAGAGAATCTCTGTAAGATTTCAGTCTTTTGAAATCTCTTGAGATTTGTTTTATGATTTAACATATGAACTATTTGGTGAATGTTCCATTTGTATTTGAAAAGAATGTGTATTTTGCAGTTGCTGGGTCTAGTGTTGTATTCAATTATGTTGATGTGGTTGGTAATATATTCAGATCTTTTATATCCTTACTGACTTTTGTCTCGTTCTATTAATTATGGGTGTGTATATGTGTGTGTGTTCAAATCTCAATGATTTTGGATTTGTCTGTTTCTGTGCTTGGTTCTGTTATTTTTTGCTTCATGTATCTCATTTCTAAATATATAATAGGAAAGTCATATTTTCAGTTAGGTTAGGTAGACACTTCCATCAGTGTGAAGTGCCCTGCCTGTCCATGGCAATACTTACCTTAAGGTCTGCTTTGTCTGATGCTAATTTAGCTTCGCCATCTCTCTTTTGTTCGTATTTGCATGGTATGTATTTTTCAATCCTTTTTTTTCTTGTTTTGAGCATGAATTGAGGTAAATATTTATTTGGGAAAAGAGACAGGAACCATTCCCAAGTATTCATTATAATGTGTTTTGTTAAAGAATACCTGTCAGCAGAGGTCCAAAATCTTTATAAATACTATTTAGTGGTAAAAAATGTGAATACTGATATCGCAATACCAACTGAGCCTCCTGTTTTCCCCAAATGCATTCAATAGCCATCCTCTTTTTTTGTGTTCTTTTTTGAAATGTTGATAACCTTGTATTTAAAGTGTGTCTCTTGTATTAAAAAAAAAAGAAAAATAAAAAAATAAAGTGTCTCTTGTAAATAGCATATGCCAGAGTTGGACTTTTAAAACCCAGCCTAACAATCTTTTATTTAGAGTGTTTAGTCCATTTCCATTTGATTTAACTATGATATATTGTGTTTATTTCTACCATTCTGCTATTTGGTTTCTGTTCGTTCCATCTGTTCTTTGGATCTTTATTTTACCTTTTTTTTGCCTTCCTTTGGATTGAACAATTATTTTTTATTCCATTTTTATCTTTTGTTTTGATTACTATTTAATTATTTAAATATTTTATTATTATTTGATTATCCTTTTAGTGGTTAATCTAGAGATTATAATTATATTCTTTATTCATCATAGTCTACCCTAAATTAGTATTTTTTCCCACTGCTTGAACAATGTTAGAACCTCAAGAAAGTTTAACTTTAACACTTTCTGCTTTCTGTGCTATTGTTGTGTACTTTATTTCACAAGAATTTTTAAAACATTCAGTAACTGACTGTTAGTTAGGGGCACTGACCTCTTTTCTCTTTGCTCGCCAAATAAAAAATGACAACCAGCAGGACAGCAGCTGTCGTCTGATGTGAACGAATTAAAATTATATCTATTTCTTTTGTCAGATTGGCAAAAAAGATAACCTTTTTTTGATGTGCTACAGAATTTTAAAAATCAGTTTATGTGGCCCTGACTGGTGCGGCTCAGTTGGTTGGGTGCCCTCTTGCAAAGTGAAAGGTGGCCGGTTTCCTTCTGGTTGGGGCACAGGCCTGGGTTGCGGGCTGGTTCCGGTCCAGGCCCGTGTGGATGTTTCTCTCACACATTGATGTTTTCTTCCCCCCTTTCTTGCTCCCTTCCCCTCTTCTCAGAATAAATAAATTTTAAAAATCTTAAAAAATAATTAGTTTAGTTGTGCCATGAGATGAAAAAGGTTGAAAATTGCAGCAATATATATTTTCAGTCTTTTGAGACATGATTTGTGCTGTTTGAAACTGTCAGTGTTTACCTGTTTAGCCATCCTCTCAGTGTGCGTTCTTTTTTGGTGGTTCCATGTTACCATCTAGCTCGTCTTCACTCGGACTACAGAATTTCGTTTGGTCTTTTTTGTGGGGCAGGTCTACTTGTGATGAATCAGCTCAGCATTTGATTGTCAAAAAATGTCCTATTTTGCCTTCATTATTTTTTTGTTCTGGTAAAATATATGCACCATCAATTTGACTGTTTTAATCATTTTTTAAAAAATTTATTTATTTTTTATTGATTATGCCATTACAGTTGTTCTATTCCCCCCTTCATTCCCCTCCACCCTACCTCCCCGTCCCCACCATTACCCCCCCTTTAGTTTATGACCATGTGTCTCAAGTTCTTTAGATTCTATATTTCCCATACTATTCTTGCCCCCCCATCTATTTTCTATCTACTGTCTATGCTACTTATTTTCTGTACCTTCTCCGCCCTTCTCCTCCTCCCACTCCCCTGTTGCTAACCCTCCTTGAGATCTTCATTTCTATGTTTCCACTCCTGATCTAGCTGTCCTTTTAGTTTGCTTTTGTTTTAGGTGTGGTTGTTAATAACTGTGAGTTTGTTGTCCTTTCACTGTTCATGTTTTTTTAACTTCTTTTTCTTAGATAAGTCCCTTTAGCATTTCATATAATAAGGGCTTGGTGATGATGAACTCCTTGAATTTGATCTTATCTGAGAAGCACTTTATCTGTCCTTCCATTTTAAATGAAAGTTTTGCTGGATAGAGCAATCTTGGTGTGGGATTTCATGACTTGGAATACCTCTTTCCAGCCCCTTCTTGCCTGTAAGGTCTCTTTTGAGAAATCCGCTGACAGTCTGATGGGGACTCCTTTGTAGGTGACTGTCCCCTTAGCTCTTGCTGCTTCTAGGATTCTCTCCTTCATTTTAATTTTGGCTAATGTAATTATGATGTGCCTTGGTGTGTTCCTTCTTGGGTCCAACTTCTTTGGGACTCTCTGAGCTTCCTGGATTTCCTGGAAGTCTATTTCCTTTGCCAGATTGGGGAAATTCTCCTTTATTATTTGTTCAAATCAGTTTTCCACTGGTGGCTGTGCCTTTCCCCCTTCTGGTACCCCTATAATTCGGATGTTGGAGCGTTTAAAGATGTCCTGGAGGTTCCTAAGACTCTCCTCATTTCTTTGAATTCTTGCTTCTTGACTCTTTTCTGTTTGGCCATTATTTGCTTTCTTCTGGTCCACTCCATTGATTTGAGTCCCAGTTTCCTTTTCATCGCTATTGGTGTCCTGTGCAATTCCATACATTTCAATTAGTTTCTCCTTCATATGT